CCATCTTTCTCGAGATCATGTGTTGAGAAGAACTTTGGTGATATATGTTTTGTTCGGTCTCCTTTGATGTAACCTCCTTTCACTTGAGCAATGCATGCAGTGTTGTCTTCATATATAGGAGTCGGATGACTAGTAATTGTTTCTATACCGCACTCGCTCTGGATATGTTGGATCATTGATCGCAACCATACACATTCTCTACCTGTTTCGTAGAGAGCTATCAACTCCGCGTGATTTGATGATGTGGCAGTCAAAGTTTGTTTCATCGATCTCCATGATATTGCGGTATCTCCATAAGTAAACACATATCCTGTTTGAGATTTTGCTTTTTGCGGATCAGACAAATATCCTGCATCAGCGTATCCAACAAGAGTGGCCTTGGCATCTTTGCGGTATAATAAACCAAGGTCGATGGTACCATTGAGATATCGCAAAATGTGTTTAATGCCATTCTAATGCCTCCTAGTTGGGGTCGAGTTGTGTCTGGCTAACAAGTTCACTGAGAATGCAATATCTGGTCGAGTGTTGTTTGCTAGATACATCAAAGCTCCAATAGCACTCAAGTATGGTATTTCTAGACCGAGTATTTCTTCATCATCTTCACGAGGTCGGAATGGATCATCATGTACATTGAGAGAGCGTACAACCATCGGGGATGTGAGAGGATGTGCTTTATCCATATAAAACCGCTATAGAACCTTCTTCGTGTAATTTGACTGGTGGATGAATATTCCGTCTTTCAAATGGTCAATTTGAAGACCAAGACAGAATTTTGTTCTCCCAAGATCTTTCATCTCAAATTCTTTCATGAGATATTTTGCAGTATTTTCTATTTCATCAGAAGTTCCAATGATGTTTAAATCTTCGGATGAAAACACATGGACTAATTGGATCATTTTTGTATCCTTCTCTGAGCAGATATTCACTGAGACGATTATACCACATTCTGCCAGATTGTTATAGTCCATATAGTGACTTTTCCAATTTTATGGATAACATCTCTCGAGGTTTTGAACTATAAACCTTAGGCATCTTTAGCCCTCTAGGAACTTTCATATATATGTCAGTATCGAGAGATCCATATAAATATGCTGTCACTACATCCATTAAACGCATTTGAAGTTTTTTCAAAGACAGAAATGCCTATAAAAAATCTCAACGTAGTTGCATCAACTAGTGGGGAATAAGTTTCTTCATAATCTATCCCCGGAATTTGAGAAAAACCTTGGGCAACGAGTCGGGCTTTATATCTCACAATTTCATTTTTTCTCATTGCGCTTACGCACAAAAACCCATTTGAAACCAACTGGTTTCACGCCTTTTGGCGTAGGAACTACAGGCCCAAAAACACTCCGTTTTTCAAGTTATTTCAATTCTGCCTGAATTGCTTCGTTCCATTTTGGCCAATCATGTCTACGTCGACATTCATCAACTAAAGTTGGCTCAATGTCATCATTTTCATCCATGATGTTTGTGGCAATGGCATATGCGAACATATCATCAACATGAACATCTTTTCTGTTCCATTGTAATCCCGTAGAAACGTAATTTATTGAAATCTCATAATTATCAACGTTTCTATCTTTATCTGAATTATTCGCATCCTCAGAGATGGTTAAATCCTCATTTGAAACAAATTGTTCGTTGATATTATTTTTTATATCAACATGCTCGGTTCGTTCATTTTCTTTCTTTGTAGAATGAACGTCTTTTGTTTCAAGTATTGTCTCTTGCCTTTTAAGTTTTCTTGGTTTTACATCTTTTGAACCAAGTGGTCTGCCACGCTTTTTGCGTATTGAAGACTCATTTGCAAGAGTTTTTTCATTTTTCTTTGAAGGAATTTCAATTCTTGCAGGAGCATTCATAGCTGGAATATGTGACTTTGTCACTTTCTTTGAATCTGTGAATGCGTCAGGTAATTGATTTGCAACATTTTGTAAATGAATTATCTTTTGCACTTCTTGTTCGCATGCATTTGTTCTTGAATCAAGAAAAGATAATCGTGTTGCTAAGGTACATTAGAGAAAGCATCATGGGTCCTTTTTCTCATTTTCTCCCCCTAAGGCTGGGAATACTGTCTCATCGAAATGACAGTCAGCAAACCGAGCTGTGAATAAATCACCAGTCATTGGCTCAAGATATTTTATAATTGAGGGAGAATCAAAGCCAACATAAATTCCCAGCCTTCTTTGAGGACCCATTTTTGTATGATGTGGTGGAGCAATTGGTACATATACGGCACATCCAAATATTTTTATGTGAGAAATATTTGGTTCTTTTCCAGTTACCAATTGCAATGGGGAAAAAATATGATTTGCAGTAGGCCTTAGCCGAATTCAATTTGCAGCATGCAATACAGCATGTCCCCAAACAGATGCAGGTAAACTGGATTTCATCAATAATGGTCTAGCAATTAATTGTAATCGCTTTATTAAAGACTCAGCAAGACCATTTTGAGTGTGCACATGAGCAACTGGATGCTCCACATCAATCCCAATAGACATGCAATAGTCATTAAATGATTGGGATGTAAATTCTCATGCATTATCAAGTCGGATTTTCTTAATTGAATAATCCGGAAATTGAGCTCTCAAACATATGATTTGAGCAAGGAGTTTTGCAAATGCAAAATTTCTTGTAGATAAAAGACTAACATGTGACCAACGTGTTGATGCGTCGATCAACACCATAAAATAACGAAATGGTCCACATGCTGGGGCAATTGGCCCACAAATATCTCCTTGAATTCTTTCTAAAAATGCAGGAGATTCAACTCCAAATTTATTTAGAGATGGCCTGACAATCATCTTTCCAAGAGAGCAGACAACACATGGAAAATCAATTGATCTTGGAATCCTTACATTTTTCAATGGATGTCCAAGTGAATTTTGAACTATTTTGTGCATCATTACACTGCCCGGATGGCCCAAACGATCATGCCACAAAATGAATGTTTTCTGGTCATCTAATTTTTTATTAGAGACAACATTCATTTCAACGGGACTAATGTGAGTATAATATAGCCCCGAGAAATACGCTGGCATCTTTTCACAAAGAATTTTATTGCCAGATTTGGTTGTCGTTAGACACAAGTATTCCTTTTTATTTTCTATCATGGTTTCAACGTGATAACCATTTTGACGCATATCCTTAAAGCTCAATAAATTCCTTTGGGATTTGCTGGAATATAATGCGTCTTTGATAATTAATTTTGTTCCTTGGGGAAGGATTAAACAAGCCATTCCAGACCCTTCAATTAGCTTTGCAACACCAGATATTGTATTGACATTAGTTTCCATCAATGTCATTTGAGAAAAATATTCTTTGTTTCTCAAAATGGTGTGCGTTGTGGCACTGTCAATTAGACATTGTTCTTTGCCACTGGAGCCATAAGCAGTTATCTCCATATCTTGAATATAAATAAATATATATAAATAAATATAAGTTCAAGATAATTAACACAAATATCATACATTTTATTATAATTTTTTAGAACAGACATAATAATACAAGTATACATGAAAATTAAAGTACAAATTTTAAACATTTATTTTAAAAGTAAACACACCATAACAACGTAAATTAAAATATTTAAACAGTAGTAGTTCCACCAAAGGCCACCTCATCACCAATTTCAGCATCATCCATGTAGAAATTGGACACGTCAAATTTAGGCAAAATTGGATTGATATCATCAGCATAATTAGCCTCCACATTTTTTCCTTTTCCTTTTGTGGAAGCTTGGTATAATTTTACCAAGTGTTTTGCCGTTCGACATTCATTAGCCCAATGTCCTTTTATGCCACATTTGTAGCATTCACCACTTAGTTTTGGCCTTTCATGAGTTTTAGCCTGTGGTGGCTTGAATTTTTCCTTTTCTTTGGAGGATGATCCATTTGGATTTTTATAGCTCCTGTTTGGCCCTTTGTTGCGGTTATTTCCGCGGCCACGTTTAAAATGTCCACGTGCACCACCTTGGACAACATTTGATTCCGGTGCTGAACCACGATCAGGATGACCAAAATTTGTAGGTGTACAACCAGTAGGCCTCATATTATGATTTTTCATTAAGAGCTCATTATTCTGCTCAGCAACAAGTAATACTGAGATTAACTCAAAATACTTTTTAAAGCCCCTTTCTCTGTATTGTTGCTGTAATATCACATTTGACATATGCATAGTGGAAAAAGTTTTTTCCAACATGTCATGATCAGTGATATTATGTCCACATAATTTTAATGTGGACGTGACTTTGAAAATAGCAGAATTATAGTCACAAACGGACTTAAAATCTTGGAATCTTAAATTGATCCATTCGTATTGAGCTCTTGGCAATATGACTTTTTGTTGATGTCCATATCTCTCTTGGAGATTATCCCATAATTCTTTCGGATCTTCCACCAATAAATATTCAGATTTTAAACTTTCATGAAGGTGGTGGCGAAGGAAAAATTATGGCTTTTGCCTTTTGCTTAGATGTTTCCGTATTATTTTCAGCAATTGTATTTTCTAGGTCATTTGCCTTGAGGTGAGCGATGGCATCAACCCTCCACTCCAGGTACCTTCGACTGGATAAATCAAGAATGTCGAACTCTCTTTTGGTGATGTTGGCCATGGAAACTTCTGAGAAGAACAAGGATTCTGAGATTTTTGAGCAAATTCGTGCTGATAACGTGTTATAAAATGAGAGAAAACTACTCAGAGATTATGAGAATAGATATAATATATTTCTGGTTTCTTCTCTCTATTAACTTCTCACTTTTCTTCTTATTCTGAATGGTAATTTACAGGGATCCTAAGCCTCTTATTTATAGTAGAGAGACTTAGTGCTAACACTATTACAAATAGTATACATACTATACAAATGGCAACTTGATGGTGATGAATGATGATGGACAATTTGTTTCTGCAACTTATGATGGAACATGACCTAATTAATTGATAAATGAACAATTCATATTTTTTCTTAACAATATAAAAATAAAAAAATAAATTTACCTATGTAAAAACTAGCTTCGGCTCTGCACCCGATCAGGCTTTCACCGTTTCTCGCTTTCGTCCTTCATTTAGTCAGACGACCAGTGGCAGCGAGCACCGAACATCCATCCCCTCTTCGTTCCAATTTTCTTGCGGAGTTTCAGGTTTGTATCTGACTATCTTCGATCCATTAACTCGTTTCATATTTAAATAGAGAAGTTATTGAATTACTGAATGATGTGAATTAGGTTGTTATGTTGTTAGTTGAAGCTTGAATTTACACATTGTGTTTCTAACTTGCCACTTGTGTGATTTCGAAGAAGCTGTGTTGAGCTTTGATTAATTAATTTCTTAATTAATGTGTTTGATTTCTTGTTCAGCTTTAGAGCTGGGAGCATATGTAAGTTTTTTTGCTAATTCGAGTTAATGATTTTTGTTATCTACTAATTTTTTTGAGCTGCTACTTAAGGGTTTCTAATTTGTTTTTTGAGCTGTTTGTTTAATTTGAGTCAAGCATAGATAAATTTTGTGTTTCTTAATTTTTTGTTTAATCTGAGTTAAAGATTTTGTTTTCATTATCTCATTTCAATTATTTTTAGTGATTGAATGGTGCTTTGTTGATTGTTTGGAAAATTAGTTTGCACTCAATTAACTCAAAATGTATTCAAAGTTTAAATTGTTGTGGTCAAGGACCTTTTTTTCCATCTCATCCCGGGTCCCTGAATCCTCAAGACCGGCCCCGACGTAATAGATTGTATTGATGTATCTAAAATTGCAGAATGGAAGGGCTTCTTGTGGAAAAGCATATAAAGTACATCTTATCAGCTAAAGAGGTAGGAGTTATTTCTACAGTCCTAAATATGCACGCGATGCATGTAGGGTGTTTAAAGTTAGCATACATAGATTGAAAAGTATAATGTGTAAGGATTAAGTAATTATAGTTATAATTAATTATCACTCATCTAGGAGAACTGGAGGAGGAGTGAGACTCCTTCCTCCCATTGTTGCAGCATACAGTTAGGAAACTAGAAGAAAATGGAAGAAGACAGAATGAGAGAAGAAAAAGGAGAGTAAAAAAACATGGATATGCTGTCATAAGTCATTGGATAGTGCAAAGTAGGATGCCACCGACTTCCTTTGATAAAATCTAAGAGATTATAATGACTTAGTTACATAGTATAAGTAATTAAAATTATAAATAATATTTTCAAAAAAATTATAAATAATATAATCAACTATCACTCCTCTTCTTGAAGAGTTGGGGAGGGGGTGTGGGTCTCCCTCCCATTGTTGCGGCGTACGGTGACATATGTGAAGGAAAGAAGAGAAGGAGAAAAAAGAGATGAAAAGGGGAAGAACGGAGAGGCAGAGAAAAGAAATAAGAAAAAGTGATATCATTTCCTGGTGCAAAGTAGGAAGCCTTCAGCCTCCTTTTCTAAAATGTTATTAAGGTAGATTATCCGGCGATTTTGTTTTTCAGTACGACAAAAAGATGATTTTAACTGTTGCAATTTGTTTTGTTGTTGACTTTGAGAATGGCCTCACTTTATCGTACTGAGGACTAGCATCTTCTATCTGAAATAACAAAAAATGTATGGGATTATGGGAATGCAAAGTGGGTCTTTTGTGAGCTTGTTTGTCTTACCTTCAGAGTAAAGATGAATTTGAGTCTGTGGTGATGGAGCATCTTAGGTTAAATGGAGCATACTGGGGTTTGACGACTCTTGATATCCTTGGGAAGATTAATGCAGTGGATCAAGTCGAAGTCATTCCCTGGGTTTTGCAGTGTCAACATGAATCCGGTTTGTGCTCTAATTGCTCTTGTATTCAGTTATACTCTATAATCTCTAAAATGAAATCTTGTTCTGTTTCTATAGTTAGACAGTTCTCCATCTTCATAAACAATCTTGTTTGCTCTAAACTTCATCGTAATGCAAAAGACACCACTCTGCCAAAATTATGATTAGGCTGCCTAAAAGTCACCAGTTTACCCTTTCTAGGCTCCACTATCTGTAATTTTTATAGTTGATGCCTTAAGCCTTGGGGGTTTTCATTACATCGGACCTAATGAAGGGTTGTCTTACTTATGTCTTTATATAAAGTACTCCCTCCGTCTAAAAAAAAGGTTCCACAACGTAACTACCACAATTATTAAGAAATGTAAAATTGTATTGTTGAGAGTGATGTCGAGGAGAGAGAAGTATTATGAGCAACATGATTTTTCTATTAGAGGAGAGTGGAACCTTATTTTGGAACAGATGGAAAAGGAAATGTGGAACATTTTTTTCTTTGAAAGGAAAGTGCAACCTTATTTTGGAACAGACGAAAAGGGATGCAATGAAGGGATATAGGCACTACTATGGGGCTATCAACTTCTCCATTGCCCAACATGTAGCTGCATTGTTCTTGAATTTGCAGTTGAACTTATACGATGAGTGTTTGTGTTTTGCAGGTGGATTTAGCGGTAACATTGGACATGATCCACATATCTTGTATACACTTAGTGCCATCCAAGTCTTAGCATTATTTGATAAACTTGACGTCCTTGACATTGACAAGGTCTCCAACTGTATCCTTCAACAACGACACACATTCTTCTTGTTATCCACAGACCACAGGGATGTTTATGCAAATTTTACAGTATACTTCTAGTGCACTCTTTTCTATTTAATGATCTAACACTACAAGATAAATAAAGAAAATTGGGCGTCATCACTCAACAAAAGTCAGCTACATAAATCATAAACTGATATGATAAGAATTGTACTTGTAAATTTTAGGGTGGTTGAACTTGACCACACTGGCAGATATTGCAGGCTTGCAAAATGAAGATGGGTCCTTTTCTGGTGACATGTGGGGTGAAGTTGATACAAGGTAATAATCTCTACTTTGGGACTTCTTCAGAGTGATTATTCCTGCATCTTAGTTTCCTTGCTCACTTGTGCACAAAACTAGTTTTACATGTTATTGTATTACCATTAAGTGAATAGAATAATCAATAAAGTTCTTCCTTTAGGTTCTCTTACGTAGCAATAAGTTCTCTTGCTCTATTGCGAAAGTTGGATAACATCGATGTGGAAAAAGCTGTACAGTACATTTTAAGTTGCAAGAATGTGGATGGTGGATTTGGTTGCACGCCTGGGGCAGAATCTCATGCTGGGCAGAGTATGTTACATAGTGCCCCCCATCCTACAATTATCTTCTGTACTTTCTTATTTGGGGTGTCTCAAGATTTTCTTCCACTTACTTTTTAAGGAAAATATTGTGTGATCCATGTTTATTTTTCTTTCCTCTACACAAATCACAGCCACACATGTTCTAATTTATTAAAAAATGCATCCAATTTCATACATGAAGACAATTATGGGACAGAGGGAGTATTATTTTGTTAGTTACATACAAATTATTCATCATGTTCATAACTTGGTATAGAGAGATGTGCATTGGCCCATTTTCCAGTGTGGTCAAGGAAATGCCCATGTTAATTTAAATTCTTTAGTCTGATCTGATGTGTAGAATATGGCAAAATTATACTATTGCACTGAAGTCATTATAATGTTAAGATATACAGAATGGGCTAAGGCCATGTTCTTTTTTAATTGTTTTATATTGTTCATTTTTTCCTGGTGGAGTCTAGAGGCTGGAGACCCCTCCTGAGTCCAGAGTTTGGAGTCCGATAACTACAACTTGTAACAACAACAACCTAGTAGAAACCCACGAGAGTAGGGTCTGGGGAGGGTGTGAGTATGCAGAGGGTGTGAGTATGCAGGACCTTGCCCTTACTCGAGAGTAGGGAGGCTGTTTCCAAGAGACCCCCGCTTAAGTAGCACAGAAGACACATAAGAGCAGAGAAAACACAGAGCATACAAAGCATACAAAGCACACAACAAGTGCAGAGACCAACGCCTAGCCCAAAGCGCCTACCCAACTACCCTAACCCTAGCATCCTACCAATTCAAACGCTCTTATCTAAGGCCATTTAAGCAGTAAGGGCAAGAAGTCCTAAATTCTGTCTAATCACCTCCTCCCAATTCTTCTTAGGTCTACCCCTACTCCTACCCTCCAACGCAAGCCCCTTGCATCTCTGCACCGGGGCATCAGTACACCGCCGACTCACATATGTCCAAACCACCTTAGCTTAACTGCAACTTTTAACTGGAACTTATATTAAATATACTATAAAAGTAAAGAATGTTTAACTTGGAACTTGGAGCAGGGATATCTGTAATAAAAAGTTGAAAAGAACATGGCCTAAGCCCACTACTGTTTGGGTTCGATAACATTATACATCATACTATTCAACAGGAAGATAGTTATGTCACACAGAGCAGTAAAAGTAGACAATTAAACTGTGCATTCACTATTTGTGATAGTAATGACCTACTGAGAGTGATGAGTTGTACTCTTTTTTTAAAGAGGGTATCTTTATCTTCATATGTCATACAAGATCACATAAAGGATCCTTTCAAATGGGCTTACTCCTATTTGTCTTTCACCTTGTCATGTTTTACTCCCTCCGCCCCAAATAAGCACTTTCTTTCACTATGTGACCATCATTATTTCACTTTCTTTCAAATCAATAATAACCATAGTACCATACTTTTCACTTTTCAACACTTAAACTCTTAGCTCGGTCAAAGTGTATTTTCAATTTTGGAAGGAGGGATTATAATTTAAGCATAGTATCAACTGATCTGTTTGTGATGTCTTTTACCTCGTAGTGTACTGGGAATGGTGATAATTTTTTTTTACTATTCCAGTTTTCTGCTGTGTGGGAGCACTTGCAATAACAGGCTATTTGCATCAGGTTGACAAAGACCTCCTTGGCTGGTGGTTATGTGAAAGACAAGTAAAATGTGGGGGTCTAAATGGGCGCCCCGAGAAGCTTCCTGATGTGAGTTAATTACGCCGTAGTATTTTATTTCTGGATAAAGTAAAAAGGGTCTTCGATTGCTGTTAAATATGTAATTCATCTTTCCTTTTACTGTTTAACTATAGGTCTGCTATTCTTGGTGGGTTCTTTCAAGCTTGATTATGATAGACCGTGTTCACTGGATTGACAAGGAGAAGCTTGTACAATTTATCTTGGACTGTCAGGTTAGTTCTCAATCTGAAGGAGTTGGGGTGTTTAGTTCTTCTCTCAAGTGATAGATTAATACTTATTTTGAGCAACATCAGAGGGTTTTTGACTTGTTGGAATGAATAACGGGGGCTGTAATTTAAATTCAATAACAAAAAATTAAAGGTTTTCAAATTCCATTGTTTGCTTGGAAAAGAATAACATTGATGGAAACTCAACCAAACATGCTATCATGTTTAGTCATATGGTATAATTAGTTGTTTTCATGGATTGTGCAGGATAGAGAAAATGGTGGGATTTCGGACAGGCCAGATGATGCAGTTGATGTCTTCCATACATATTTTGGAGTTGCTGGTAATGCTTCACAAATCCTACTATCACTTTAAAATAATAGAATGTGTGGCACACTCTAATTATCACTCAATCCCCCTTTTGATGGGTTGAAGTGAATTAATTTGGTAATAAAAAATGGTTATGTTATTCTTTCAAAAAACACAAAAAACTACTTGTCATATGAAAACACTCATAAGTGTAGTATACAGCTTCCTAGTTGAAATAGACCCGTGTAGTAGTAACCCAAACCTATTTCATTACATTGCAATTTGTCATCCTTGCAGGGCTCTCTCTTTTGGAATACCCAGGACTAAAAGCGATAGATCCCGCTTATGCCTTACCCGTCGATGTTGTGAACCGAATCATCTTTGACAAGTAATCGGCTGGTTTTAAACGTGCTGCCAGTCCCATCCATTTTCACCAAATTTTTTAAAATATATAAAGTTTTAGTACAGCAAGGTCGATGATATTATTCTCTTAAAGGATTCGCTATCTATCATGATTTTAGCATTTTATAAATTAATTTGCACAGGCTGTGTCCCAAGAGAGATCTACTACTCCGTAATTGATTACACCGGTTGTTGCCCAGTGATAAAGCCAATAGATCTTAGGTCTCCAACTCTTGCTACACCGCTTGTTTTTTCACAACACCAAGAGAGCTGCCAAAAAAACAAACTCTTGTTGTCACATAAGAAATAATCATAAGTTCCATCCATGTTTAATTTCCAAACATAATGGCCTATTTACCTATGTGGCAAAGTTTTTTCCAGTAATTTCCAATGTCCGAAGCAAGCAATTTATCCACTGTCATCTACACCATCAAGTACTCAATTTATCCAGCAGTGTTCATCTTGCATAACGTTTCACAAACACCCAGAATCGTTGCTCGTTGTCTATAAATAAAGCCTAGAATTCAAACACACAATGGCCACCTTGCAGGCCTACGATATGGACATTAAATGTTTTGAGGACATTATGTCAACAAGTTTATTACTAAGAACCTAACAAATGAACCTCACAAATCTAACTCCTCAAGAATATGTGATTTATATCTGTCAAATTTTCTTTTATAATGCAATGATTCCACATCTTCCTCAATGTTGAATTAATGTACTATGTCATCTTTCAATGTCTTCATTGAGACAAGAAGAATAACAAATTACTTGACTTGGCGTTAGACCTTATCTCAAACATATATCAGGGCATTAAATTATGATGTCCCACAGCTAGGGGTGGACACGGGACGGTTCCGGTTCCGGAACCGCCGGTTCCGGTACCATCAACCCTAGGTACCGTCACCGTCACCGGACCGGACGGTACCAGTTCCGGTACCCGTACTGGCGGCTCCGATACCGTACCAGCCAGTTTGGCAACCCCCCCCCCCCCCCACCTTTTTAAATTTTTAAAAGTGTAAATGTGTAATTGTTAAAGAAAATAAATCAAACAATGAAATAAAAGATCTAAAAATGCAATTGTTATTTAAATATTGAAAAATGAGTAATACTAATACACGAACAACTACATTTAATATCCTGACGGTTCAAAAAAAGCGACGTTGTAAAGAACCATAAAGAAACCCTCAAAGGAGCTTATTTATCGCTCACCTAAAAAAAACTAGTTACATTAACATAAAAAAAGTTTATAACTTATTCCTCAGAACTAGGACTTCCATCTGTGGTTGCATTCATGTAATGTTTAGAATTGAATTCGTACCCTGACTCTTGAGCTCGACGTCTTGCCAAGATCCAATCTTTGTTGCAAACAAGTGTTTCAAGAGATTCAGTGCTAAGACAACTTCGGTAGTCGGTTAAAATGTTGCCGCTAGAACTGAATTCTTGTTTCACAGCTACGGTTGATACCGAGACGGATAAAACTTGTCTGGCTAGCATTCCGAGACATGAAAGCATGTGTTTGTTTCGCTTCCACCATGCGAGAATGTCAAAGTCCACGTCATCGTCGTAATCGCATGGGGTACATGGCAAGTTCGTTGTGCGAGCTTACAATTGTACCACCTGAACTCGTCGAAGGCTGACCTCGCTTCCCTTTTTTTGCCAAAATCCCACAGACTATTCTTTGAAAACCTGTTTTTGCTTTGGGAGGCGGAGGAGGTGCTGTTTTTTCCGGTGCATTACAGTATATTCCTTAAAATTATTTAAATAAAGCCTGAAAAAGATCAATAGCATTATCTCTTTCTTTTGTCCATTCTATTAAATGGTTGTAGTAATAATTATTTTCATCTAAAAAGCAAGTGTAGTAATACTCAATCATAATTTTAAAATTTCCAATCTTAAAGCGAGGATCACAAATAATACCAATTTTATAAATATCAGGAATGTACAAATAATAAGCACACTATTTATCCATCATAGGAGAGACATATGGGTACAAGTCTGGATCAGCTAAACTTTCACTAAAACATTTGCAATTGTAACACTCTTTAAAAAATCTATTTGTAGTTGGTTGGTAAACATGTGAGAAAGTACGAGTTGCATTATTAAAAACTTCTAATAATACAACATTCAATTTTTCAACAATAACAAATTTATTCAATGAAATCATAAAACGAAGTTCATTCCTAAGAAATGCAGCAAGTTCGTCTTTGTAGCTTAGAATTTGTGCTATCAACTTGTATTTACTATTCCATCTAATGGTGATATCTTTAGCAAATGTTGTTGGTTTTCTATCCCTAGATTTACAGTATAACTTCCAGGCTTTCGTATGAATACGACTATCCCAAATCTTTTTAATTCCATTTTTAATATTCGTCAAACCCCCCATAGCTTCTAATCCATGTTTAACACATAAATTTTAAACATGACAAACACATCTTTGATGCAGAAATCTACCCATACTCGTAGTAGGGGGCAAATTTCTTTAAGTCTAGGAATAGTAGTAGTATTATTAGTAGCATTATGAAAACCAAATGCAAATACTTTATTAACTAAATTGTATTCTTGGAGAATACGCTCAAACAATAGAAAAATATTTTCAGCAGTATCAGATTCATTGAAATCACGAAATGCAAGAACACGTTTATACATAATCCAATCATTATCTATCCAATAACAAGTACGTAACACCTATATAAGACAAATTATGATATGTTTTACTCCAAATATCAGAACAAATAGTAACACGAGAATTAAAATTGAGAAAATTTTTTGCCAAATTCATTTTTTCAACTTTATATTGTCGAATAATTTCTCTCTAAATTGTTTTTCTTGAAAAACCTATTGCTTGAGGGTTTAATTCATTTTGACATGTTAGTCGGTTTTAGTCGTTGTGCCCACGCCTTAGGGGGGGGGAGTGAATAAGGCGTTTAAAATCTTATCGAAGTTTGATAAAAACGGTGTTGGCAAATGCGGAAGCAATATATAAAACATAGAAATAAAAGCGTAAAGTAAAATGCACACCGATTTTATACTGGTTCGAGAACTCTCTACTCCAGTACCTCGAGGCTCCTCCTCAAGGATTTCCGAATCCACTAAGTTCCGGTCTCTTGAACTCCGTCAAAGCACCGAACTAGTTTGGAAAACAACCCTTGCCAATAGGATTCACTCAGAGATTTTACAACGGCTATCTCGAACCGTTTACAACGAAGATTTAACGGCTATCTTCTACCGTTACCCCAAGGTTTTCAAAGGCTATCCTTGTACCTTTACCCAAGGATTTATACGGCTATCCTTAACCGTTACAACGTGAGAATTTAACGGCTATTCTCGACCGTAACAATGTGTGTTTGAAGAACACAAAAGAGGATTCTACACAACGGCTAGAATATAAAAATGAAGAACAAAACTTAGCCGGTGTAGAAGGAAATTATACTCTCTCAAAAATACAATACAAACTTATGAATATGAGAGTATATAATTAGAAACACAAGCTCAAAGTGTGTGTATAAAAATCAGAAAATTAAGGCTCTTGAAATAGCCAAAATATTGAAAATAATTAATAAAAGAATGAACACACTTAGAATATTAAGGAAGGATGTTTGGAGCTTTGTTTCTTGTTAAAATATGAAGTATTAGGCCTATATTTATAGGGGAAGATGTTAATTAGCCGTTAGGAGGTGATTAGAGTTGAATTAATTCAAAAACCAGCAATCAGGAATAGTGTTCTAACGGTAACGGTACCCTGTCACGGTAGTTAGGTCTCGTACGGTAGCTAGGTATCTTCTCAGGCCAAAACTCTCTGGCGGTACCTATCCTCATACGGTACCCCTTACAGTAGGGGGGTCACATCCAGACGGTAGGGGGGTCCCGTGCTGGCGGTAGGGGGTACCTTCTCAAATTGACTCACGGTACCCCTCACGGTACCTAGGTACCTTATGACCATTTTGACAAATTTTTTAGTTTTGTCCAAATCATTTCCAATTTTGTTTAAACCTTTTGGATGTTTGAAAATGATTATAAAAGGGTTTTAAACATATTTTTTGAGTGTTTTTGAGCTTGTGAATATAGGTATATAAAATCATATCCTTACATCGGTTTCTACCTAAATTCTATGCTAGTTTAGTGTTTCGACTTTATTCTTGAGAACCGAATCTTTATGGATTCTTGTTGTACCTGAAACACTTAAACAAACGTTAAACTCTTATATTATTTATTAACATCAAAACATGAGGCTTAGCAAACCAAGGCTAACAATCTCTCCCTTTTTGATGTTGACAAAGAATATACTTCAAAGTGAGTTAGGCGGGAGTAAAATAATGAAGCAAGCAAGCTCCCCCTAAGAATAAGCATATTTAAAATACTCACTTTGAACTTTTTCTTGTGTTTATTAAAAGTTTAAGTTTGATGCAAAAATTTACACAAGAATGCACTCAAGTCAAGTTGCATATGCACCACTTTGAAGTATACATCTTCTCCCCCTTTGGTCAAAATAAAAAAGGGCATTTTGAAAATTTTAACTATGTATAACTTCTTGAAACCCTCCCCTATCAAAATGAATTTTAAAAAATGATAGTTTGGAGATCATTGGGCAAAAGGTGCATTTACAATGAAACTTCCCCTAAAACGAAAAATCCCTCTAAAATGATGCAAGTTTAAAAACTTTAATTTTTTCAGAGATTATTTTCTAAAAAGCATGATTTAAAGTTGAATTTAAAAAAAAATTATTTAATCATGCAAACCAAGGCTAAAGTAAATAAAAGCACGTATGGGATAAGGTTTTATTTTTGAAAATAATTAAAACCAAACAAAATAATATCTTATCCCAATAAGTGAGAAGAATATACCTTGGCTTATGCCGCTCTTTCTTTAGCTTTTTATACGTTTCTTTCCTCTTCACATACTTCTTCCATTTGAGGAAATTTGTATACTTCATTCTCATTGCCTTCTCTTCATCTTCTTCATCATTCGACTCTTCCGTAGAGCTTGAGTCACTTGAATCATCACTTGACTCACTTGACTCTTCACTTGATGAGTCTTTTGAAGCTTTGAAGGCGTTGGTAAGTTTGGGATTTTCTCGCATTTCTTCCTCTTTAATCTTTCTCAACAAAAGTTCGTGAGAATACAAAGAAGACCAAATGTGGGCGGTTTTGGCCTTATCACATTTGGGTAATAAATCTACAATATTACTATGCCATTCTTTAGGTAAAGAAAACAATATCTTTGTATTCAATTCGCATGTACTATATGTCTTACCCAACTTACTTAACTTATTGACGATTTCGTTGAACCTCTTGTTCATATCTTGAATCGTCTCACATTTCCCCTTCTTGAACGATTCATATTCCGAATTTCCTAGGGCAATCATCATTTGCTTTGTTGAGATGTCCCCTTCGGGAGTGGCTTCTAATAGGTCCCATACTCTCTTGGCCATTTTCCACGTTCTCACTCTTGCAAATTCATCGGGGCCGAGAGAGCAATGGAGGATGTTGATCGCTTTGGCATTCATGGATAACTTCCTCTTGTCCTCCAAAGACAATCCTGCAAAATCACCACTACTCGGCACAAATCGCCCGTGTAACACCCGCCTTCCGTGGACCCGGTTCACCCGCGACCCAACGGACCGGTAGAGTTACATGGACTGTCCGAGAACTGTCCGTTACAAAAGCATTAATGATTATTTAATAAAAAATGCCAGGGAGTTACTCCCAAAACGTGTGTAATAAAAGTGCAGAGTAAATGCGGAAGTAAATAAATAAGTCTAGTCCAAATTAAATAACAACAAAGGTGGGTTCATGCCCAATTAATTAATTAAGTTTATGGAAATAAATAAAAGCCCGTCCGCGCGCCGCCCATCTCTCCATCGTCACTGCTCTCCAGGGTCGGCACCCGCACCGTCATGTCTACCTGCGTGTAGCAAAGACAACTACACGCTCAACATAAGCTGAGGAGTGAATCTAACAAAAGAACATTAAGTGATAACCCATATGGCTATACACATATTAATACCTGTACTTAACGTATGGGAAAAACCACATGTTACTAATTGTTTAGTTTCCACCTGTTAGAGCTATTACAAACCACAAGGTGATTGGAACATACATGATGAAGATATGACTTGATGCAAGACTTGAACTATCAGAAACACCCCTGACTTAGTCTCACTCGACAGGATCACCCCTGCACTCCAGTCATCGTCCCCGAACGGTAACGAGCTGGGCACGACGAAGATGTCGCGAGTGAACTAGAAAAAACCGGGTAGTAGCCGTAGCCTGACTACTATGTACGTACACAAGCCCAACATGATGGAAACCCGTTGGTCCCCGAAGGTTCCTGGACGGGCCCACTGTAGTAGGCGCACGAAGTCCTCCCTACAGCGGTATGCACATGATGAAACCTAAGACATACGTCTAAAATGAACATGATGGATGCTTGATGTTTTTTTTACCTTTGGTAAATGCCGAGAATATATCAATTATATAACATTTAAAATAAATATTAACTTTTCATGCAAGAAACGATTAGATTCTGGGTCAACGGGCTCGTTCTACAAACTGCCCGGAAGTCTGCCCGTAGAACGGTCGACCGTACCCTACCGGCGGTCGATCGTGGACTGCGTTGTGGGGAGCTGGATGGCCGACGGTCCACCGTGGTCTTCTGTTGTGGCCGGCGTTCGACCGTCACGGTGGTGACCGTCGGATTGGCCATGGGTACGGTCCACCGTCCGTAGCGGCGGTCGACCGTCCCGGAGGCAGTCCGCTGTCCTTTACTCTGTTTTGGTCCATTTTGCTAATTTAACACCTAGATTCTTTTTGGAACAATAACATAACATTTATGAGTATATTTATAGTGATTCCTAGGCCAAAATTTATAGGTTTACGTAATGAACATTTTGGTGATTAATCTACGAACATGTATGGATTCTATGTAGGTTGCGTACGATATTTCTATGAATATAACGACATAGATTATAACTTAATGTTCTAGAATTAGAGGGGACAACTACTCACCTCTAAATGAAGGGGTTGACTGAACGAGATGAACGAATGGTGCCAACGAACGGACGAACGACGACTACGCTTCGCACGAACGCCCTAGCCCTTCTTCTCCTTCAACCTTGCACCCGCCGGAGCTTCGTCGGAGGTCCTCCTCGCTGCTGGTCTGGCCGAAAATGAGAGAGAGAGGGAGAGAGAAGATGAATTGTGTGTGGGAGTTACAAAAATGTGAGGGGATGAATGGGAAATGTGTGGGTTTTTAAGTTATGGGAATAATGAGGAGAATGAATGAGAGTGATGGTGAGTTATGGGGAATGAGTGGCGTAAGGGGTGAATTTGGGGGGTTACAAATGTTTATTCTACTCCGTAATGTAAAATATGACCTGAACGGTACGCGCTTTCCCCCCCAAACGGATCCGAATTGAGATCCGTTTGCGTTTCTAGAATCAGGCAGTCAAAACGAATTTAATGATATGATCAAATAATTTTTCTAAGAACTTTTGAATTTCCCCAACTCTGGTCCGGAAGAGTAATTAATTAATTAAATTAATCAATTCTATTAGACCGGGTTGCAGGGTGTTACAGCCTGTGAAGTACATTTAACCATAAATCAAAATCAATGGATTGTATAAAATATTCCATCCGCATTTTCCAATAAGAATAATTTTGGCCGTTGAAAAAAGGAGGGCGGTGGATGCTTTGAGAATCCATTTGGGCCATAAATTTGAATTTTAAAAAATTAGGGAAAATAAATATTTGAGATTTTAAAATTCAAATTCAAAAAAAGGACACAACAAGTGGATCTTTGTCGTAGATGCGGTTAAGCACTTTCAACTACGAAACCGCTCCGATACCAATTCTTAGTCGGTTTTATTCCTTGTGCCCACGCCTTAGAGGGGGGGGTGAATAAGGCGTTTAAAATCTTTTCGGAGTTTGATAAAAACGGTGCTGGCAAATGCGGAAGCAATATATAAAACACAGAAATAAAAGCGTAAAGTAAAATGCACACTGATTTTATACTGGTTCGGGAACTCCCTACTCTAGTACCTTGAGGCTCCTCCTCAAGGATTTCCGAATCCACTAAGTTCCGGTCTCTTGAACTCCGTCAAAGCACCGAACTAGTTTGGAAAACAACCCTTGCCAATAGGATTCACTCAGAGATTTTACAACGGCTATCTCGAACCGTTTACAACGAAGATTTAACGGCTATCTTCTACCGTTACCCCAAGGTTTTCAAAGGCTATCCTTGTACCTTTACCCAAGGATTTATACAGCTATCCTTAACCGTTACAACATGAGAATTTAACGGCTATTCTCGACCGTAACAATGTGTGTTTGAAGAACACAAAAGAGGATTCTACACAACGGCTAGAATATAAAAATGAAGAACAAAACTTAGCCGGTGTAGAAGGAAATTATACTCTCTCAAAAATACAATACAAACTTATGAATATGAGAGTATATAACTAGAAACAAAAGCTCAAAGTGTGTGTATAAAAATCAGGAAATTAAGGCTCTTGAAATAGCCAAAATATTGAAAATAATTAATAAAAGAATGAACACACTTAGAATATTAAGGAAGGATATTTGGAGCTTTGTTTCTTGTTGAAATATGAAGTATTAGGCCTATATTTATAGTGGAAGATGTTAATTAGCCGTTAGGAGGTGATTAGAGTTGAATTAATTCAAAAACCAGCAATCAGGAATAGTGTTCTAACGGTAACGGTACCCTGTCACGGTAGTTAGGTCTCGTACGGTAGCTAGGTATCTTCTCAGGCCAAAACTCTCTGGCGGTACCTATCCTCATACGGTACCCCTTACGGTAGGGGGGTCACATCCAGACGGTAGGGGGGTCCCGTGCTGGCGGTAGGGGGTACCTTCTCAAATTGACTCACGGTACCCCTCACGGTACCTAGGTACCTTATGACCATTTTGACAAATTTTTTAATTTTGTCCAAATCATTTCCAATTTTGTTTAAACCTTTTGGATGTTTGAAAATGATTATAAAAGGGTTTTAAACATATTTTTTGAGTGTTTTTGAGCTTGTGAATATAGGTATATAAAATCATATCCTTACATCGGTTTCTACCTAAATTCTATGCTAGTTTAGTGTTTCGACTTTATTCTTGAGAACCGAATCTTTATGGATTCTTGTTGTACCTGAAACACTTAAACAAACGTTAAACTCTTATATTATTTATTAACATCAAAACATGAGGCTTAGCAAACCAAGGCTAACATGACAATAATCAATAAATCCAAGTTTTTCAGAAAACATGTATGACAAATTTTCTTCACAAATCATTTCGGCCATTTTTTGCTTATTTTGATCATCGCTATAAGCAAAAAGACCGCCCTTACCCCTGTTAGCAAACCGAGAAATTTGGGTTTGCACTTCTTGTGGTCCCTCTTTTTTGCCGCGTATTTGGCGTACTCCACGGGACGCCTCGCCCTTAGGTGTTTTTCCAGACCACCATAACCACCGGAAATTCCCATTTTAATGACAGTGCCACAATAATTACAAGTTCCAAAAACTTCGTCATTTTTTGTTTCTTTTGAAAAATGATAAACAAATAATCATATTTTAATTTTTTTACCTTTCCCTGGACTTTGAGAGGTTTTGGGCTCACCTGCATCCTCGTCGTCGTCGGTAGGATTGTTTCTCTCCAGTGTAGGCTCCACGTCCATTTCTGCTTCATCAATGTTCTCGAATATATCTTCAAGAGTTGGAAGATTGGCGTCGGTTCTACCTCCCAAATACTGTTCGAATTCATGATCCGTCAAAGCGTCGCCCACAAATTGATCAGGGATAGTAGGGAAGGAAGAGACGGAGTGTCTTCCTTGAGAACCACGTGAGCTCGAATTGTCATAGGTGGCTTTAGCTTTGCCTTTCCTCGAACTTCGGTTCACAACGCCCATATCCACGGAACTTCTACCGGACTCTTTTCGACATTTTAATATATTTTTATTTTGATAAAAAAGGACTATATTAAATATTTAAAACATTAATCATACATTGAATTTCGAAATAATAATATTAATTTATAACAATATAATATATTAGTAATATATGAATATATGACTAAAAATTTAATATTATAAGAGTATATATTTATATATTATATACTCCCTCCGTCCTATATTGATCTTCCCACTTCCCTTTTTTCCCGTCCTAAAATCATCTTCCCACACTCTTTAAATACACATGTAATGACTAAAATACCCCTAAAAGGTTAAAACATTTATTATTCACCCACCCCATACCCAACCCACCCCTTTATCTTCACTGCACACACCTCTGACCTTATCTCTTCCTCTCCTTCGTCTTACACTTCTCCGCCTCCCTCCTCTAAAACTAAACCTAGATCCATCTCTTCCTTCTCTTGCGCCTCTAATCCTTTCCCTCTCTTCGTGTCTCTGTGAATTACACCTCTTTCTGCCTCATATGGATCCTGTGAAATATCATTTTGAATCTCAGATCCCTGAAACTCAGATCCCTGAAAGTGAGTCCCAATCCCAAGGGATGAACACTGAAAATCCGAGGATTGAGGGCAGAGAGAATCAAAATTTGGACGCTTCAGGCACAGAGGAGGGGGAGGGTGAGTCGGATGACATTGGATCTGACTCCAATCCTCTTCCAAACGTCGGCTGGGTCATTGCCGACAGTGAGTATGAGGAAAGCAAGTTGGAGGATGAGCCAATGCAAGGATTTGGAAGTGAATTTGATGAAGACCAGTTCGTAGAGGAGGAGGAGGACAGAAACGAACTGTCTGATGCTGAGATGGGCAGCCACTCCAATGCCATTGGCACAGGGGTTGGCGTGGTCCAGAGATTTCCAGGCTTGTTGTCCTACCGAGACTACAAAGTGAAGTTTCTCTTTATTTTTTTAGTCTATGCATGATTAGAAGTATATACACAACTATGATGATTGTGGAAATTACATTGCATGTTCAAGTTTTTTGTTGGGGTACATAGAGTGAGTGGTAGTCAAAGAAAACTGACTGGGGTACATATTGAGTAGTTGCCTTGATGTGAAAACAAAAAGGTCAAGGTCTTACTTTCTTACTCTTCAGTATTTACAACCTAAAATTACAAAATTCAAAAAGCAAAAGATAAATGTACCCAATCATTCACAAAATATAAAGAGATTCTGTGTTATGATAAACACTTAGTTCATCTCTGAAGATGAGAAGTTCTCTTCATCTTCAGTTATGAACTCATGTACCGCTGGCTCTTCACTCTGTCCACTGGACTGACCAAGCCCCCTTACAGTTTTCTCTACCAATGTGTAGGGTACATCCAAACACACTGGTAGTGCTCCTTGTCTAGTCAGCCTATCCTTTGCCATATGTGGGAGCTTGTATTTGTTCCCTCCTTCATCATTCATGACTTCTTGCATCACATTTTGGTAGCTTAACCATACTTTGTTTAAAGTCTCTGGTGTTAGGGAATCATAAGCACCCCTTACTGCTTCTAGTAGCTCTGTCACATTCTTAGGAGCACACTGCTCTTTCAGTGATTGAATGGCTCTAAAAAAATCCCAAATCTAGGATGTTGAGGTCTGGAGAGTTGGGGGGTTGGTTACTTAAGGTTATGTTGAATCCATTTGCAGTTGATGCTTCCATAAATTCTAGATTTGTGGCAATTATGTGAGGTCTGGCATTATCTTGCTGGAGCACAATGTTTTTGCATAAAATGGGTGGCCATTTCTGTTGAATTGCAGGGATGACTTGGGTGACCAACATCTGTTTAGTCACTTCTTTCGTAACACTATGAAGCTGTTTCACCTCTAAAACACCTGCATCTCTGTTCTTACTCTTTCTTTTAGCTGCCACAGTTTCAACAAATGGAAATATTCCAATTTTTCCATCCCACAACACTTCCCCATTTTCTGAGATTAAGGGTCTACCAACCACATATAAAAACATGACCTTAGTAATGAAACGCTTTGACTTGCATGTTCCGTAAGGGTCTATTTCATTCTGAGTCAATTAGTATTTCTGTGATGTTTTGGACATGAAGAACCATTTCTCATCCATGTGAAGAACATTATGGAAAGATCTAAACCTCGGGTTAGATGGGATGCTAATGGGTTCTATCTGATTCAAACAAAATTTCAATCTTTGCAACTTGTTTGCATCAGTTAGGTATGGTTTAATTGCATTTGAATGACATCTGACCAATCCTCTTTTAATACAAAGATGCAATGTAGACTTTGAAATACCTAAGGCAGCAGCCATGGCCCTAATGCTTGTCCTTTTGGCTAGAGGAATGTTCGGGATGGACTCTATGTCTATCACCGTCCTTTTCCTTCCACTCTTCACTCGAACCTGACTACTCACATCAATGGCAACACCCCCCTGTATTTGTTTTCTAGCTCTACTCCATATCTCACCTACAGATCTTCTTGAAACATTAAATTGAGCAGCAACCTTACTGATAACTCCTTTCTGAGCTGTGTACTGACCTGATTTTTTTTGTGTACGATAAGATTGCTTCTACAATTCTTTGTCTTTCTCAATTTGTCAGCCTTTTGCTCCTTATTTCGTTTTCCGTTTGCAGATTCTCCTCTCTGTTTGGGAGAGGAGGAAGAGCAGTGTGAGGCGGCGCGCGGAGCAGCGGTGTGAGGCGGAGCAGCGATGAGAGGCGGAGCATCAGTGTGAGGCGGAGCAGCGGTGTGAGACGGAGCATCGGTGTGAGGCGGAGCAGCGGTGTGAGTATGAGGCATGTGAGATGAATAATGGGAAGGAGCTGCAGTTTTTTTTGGGTGGAGTTTCTAATTTTAGAAGGGTTGGATATTTATAGGCTATGGCCTTTTGGTGGACTTTATGTTTGTATTTGGAGGGAAATGTTTAGAAATTTCCCTCATATTTGTAAAATGTTTTCAGTTTTGATTTTGAGACCAGTGCCAAAAATTTGCAGTAGTTGCATTCGAACAAAGCAATGGTTTTTGGTGTCGTCCAGTTTTTTTTAGTACAGTGCACAATATGGTTTTTTAAAGGGAGGGTATAATTGGAAGTCAAATTGCAAAAGTTCAATCCCTTAAAAATGAAGAATAGTCAAAGCGGGAAGATCAATATAGGACGGAGGGAGTAATACATTAATATATATTTATAATTTTATATTATTATATGAATATAAAATGTATAAAGAATTAAAGATTGAAGAGAGATAATAGAAATTAATAGAGATGATTAGATGAAGGGATTGAGATTTGAGAAATGAGAAATGAGAGTGTGGTATTTTTTTAAAAAAATGGAAGGGTTTATATAGATAAAGCCCCTCTTCCCCTTCCCCCTCCTCAACAGCATTATAGCCGTTTGAGGAGCCCCCCCACCTGCAAAAGCCCATGACAAAGCAACAAAAAAAATTCAAACGGTCGGTGCCAGAACCGGTACCAAAAAACTGGCACCGGAACTGGTACCGTGTGGGACGGTATCGGTAGCAGTTCCCGGAACCGCCAACCCATGTCCGTCTTCGTCTCCAGTGGCGGTACTGGCAGTAGCATTGCCTGTAACGGTACCGTACCGGTACCGTGTCCAGCCCAAATGATACCAAATTCATTTAGAGTATGCAGGCTTTCTCTCTAAGTTTGTTTCTATGGTGTATCCACTTACACTTCAAATACAATGATCTAAATTCAATAATTTTACAATCTTATGATTCTTATTCCCCGCATTAGTTCAAAAAATATAAATGAAAAAGATATTAGCAATCTTATGATTCTTTTTCCTCATATTAATTTAAAATAACATGGGTTACCGATCCTATGATTCCATGATGAAAAAAACACGACTCTTCTTCCCGCATTAATATAGATCAGTGAAAAAATTGATTCATTTTCCTTGTGTTATTACGATTTTAATCTCTTCCTTCGCATCGATTAAAAAATATGCTTCCTCTTTACCGCATAATTCAAAAAAATCAAATCTTGGATTAGTGATGCTATGATTCAAAAAAAATTAAATTAAAAAAATATTAAAAAATTGATGCTTCTTCTCCAATGCATTAATTAAAAAATATAAAAATATTAGTTATCTATGATTCTGAATGGAAATCTATAATTACATTTGACAAACTTTTATTCATTTCTTTCCCTTTACGTTTGAATATGAAATCATTTAAGCTCATGAAAACATTATTTGTTTTAATTTTTTTGGTTTTAGTAGTTAATCATTTAAAACGATAGTCTAGGCGTATTTTGTTTTATAGAATATTAAAATGTAGTGGAGTATTATTTATTTTACATCAATATTTAAGTAAATAAAAGAAAAAACTATCTTCATTTAATAAGAGACATCCATTTCAATTCAATTGGTGACAACGCATAAAAAAAGTCGTCTGGAAACCCATAGCTTATACTCAGCAAGAAAGTCGTTTGGGAACCCATAGATTTCCAGCAAGCGAAGAAGAGGATTCTTTCCTTTGGCGAAGAGTAGAAGCGTGAACAAATCAAAGAAGTGATAAGGGAGAGACGCGTGTAGGCTTATGTGTCAAAAAAAATAAGACTCTAAAAGGGCTACATGTAATCATTCTATACCTCAAACTCTCAAATTTTATATTAAAGGATTTTACCTTTTAACATTGAAACGACATCAGGCCAATGGAATTGTACTGCTAATTTGGTAAACCCTAATTTTGGACCCTACTCTATCAATTTCGCTTAAATATCAAAGTTCAAACCCACCAATGTACAATCCCCACCATTTAGTAATAGATGCCTTCAAAGGTCATGGCTAGTTCAGTAGTTCTAGAAACCAGTGCATGTAACAACATCCTAGTCGTACCGGTTCTACATTGGGAAACTCATATTGTTTTGGTACGGAGTATTATTTAGGGATTTTTATCCTTGTTTGTCCAGTACTTCAATGAGAATAGTGCATCGTTACCCTCAAAATTCTTCAGAAATTACACGATTTACCCATGAATATTAAAAAGTGTACCAGATACCCTTGAATTCTTTTGAAATTGTACGGTTTACCCTGAACATAAAAAAGTGCACCAAATACCCCTAAACTATTCAGAAATTGCAGGATTTACCCCTGAACTTTTAAATAAAGATGATAACTTTGGGGAAGAGTGCTTTGGAGAATTCACAAGGGCCAGATTAATCATACTCACAATTTCCATGTTTGGGAGCAATGCACTCCCTATCCTAGCATTTTAGGACCAAGAATGCAAGGTTTTAAATTGTTCAGGGGTATTTAGTGTATTTTTAATGTTCAGAGGTAAATCGTGTAATTTTTGAGGAATTCGAGGGTAAACGGTGCACTTTTAAATGTTTGGGGGTAACTCCATCAATTTGGCTTAAATATCAAAGTTCAAACCCACCAACGTACAATCCCTGCCATTTAGGCAACGTTTTGTTCAATTTAATTTTTATGTTTATGATTTATTCTTATTATAATCGGATCAGATCAGATCAGACCATATCATATCAGAAATAACTTTAATTAAAAGTGCAATCAGATCAGATCAGACCAAATTAGATCAGGCAAACGAAACACAGCCTTAGTAATAGAATGTCTTCAAAAGTCATGGCTAGTAACAACACTTTAGTAGTGTCGGTTCTACATTGGGAAACTCTTAGATAAGGTTCTTTATTAGTTATTACCCTAGGTAGTTTCCACATTTTAGGCTATATCATTATTTGGCATTCAATTCTTTCATATTTATGTGCAATTTCCAATCGTGGAGTTTTGGGTTTCAATAAATTATTCTATTAGGCTGGTCTGAAGATCATGTTTCTGTTTTCATCAGTTATATATTATTGTGTTTTTTCAAATTCTTGAGTATGAGTCATATGATGTTTGCAAAGGCTAATCTGAAAAAGGAGAAATGAGAAGATTGAATTCGGAGGGAAGGAGTATAAAATGTAGGTTTTAGTGTAGTTTCTTTGTTGTTACTCTCCCATTGTTCAAAAAAATACCTACCCCTATTCCACATTATTCAAAACACCTACTATAAGAACTAATATTTTCAACATGTAATATGCCAATTTTGTAATGGCTCTTGTGAGAATGGGAGAACTCTCTTCATCATAGTAATAAAACTATGAAAAGGCCAAAATAAGAGTTCTAAATATATTAAATGGCAATTTTGACTCCTTTAGAACAATTCTGAATGAGGCATTATAACTCAGCTTAATGAACAATATTTATTCTTAAAAGTTAAAACCACATATATTCATAAAATTAAAACGCTGGTGCATATGGACACTTTTCAAGATTCACTTAATTACTTTCATCAACAAAAACATGAATATGCCCAATGTTTTTTCAGGGATATATATGTAGGAACAAAGTCTTTTTCCAAATCTGATGATCCCTTGTCCGGCACAAGAACTTGTGTCTTTCCAGTAGCGATTCTCCTTGCGACAACATTGTCAGAAAACACGTTTGTTGAAGTTTGAACATAAACATCAGCCACTGAGGATATATAGACATCCGTAATCCCCCTAAGTTCAGGATGTTTGGGATCCAAGAAGTTTGGTTTGTCATTTGCAAGGATGATCATGTCCTGTTCACAGAAGAAGAAGAAGAAATAAAAGTACAACAAAAGTTTGTATATGACGAAAACAAGTAATCCGCAATGAGCAGGTACCTTGGAGGAACTTAGTAAGTAGTTTTGTTGTTGTTCAGTATATGTACTCATAATGAATCAATAAATAAAGAACCATAACAAGCACGCGGCTTTGGAATTCTTAGAAAAAAATTCTAAAATATATACGGAGTACATACCTTAGTATAGGTGTTGGGAAAGGCTTCTCTTAAAGGTTCAACACTAGAATGCCACTCATTTAGTGTCAAGTAAATGGTTGTTTCTTTTGCAAAACCAACCTTCTGTAAAAACAAAGCTATATGTTTGGCATCATCAATGCAGTTTCTTGCTTCTGTCGTTGCATTGTCTTCGTGACATTTACTACTACTTTGGTGTAGCAGAGTCTCAGTCCTATAATCGACTGCAATAAAACGCCCACGTGAATGAGAGCTAAGGCTTCTTAGAGTTAGGACCATTGAGTCTATAGATTCTTGGAGTTCTGGCCTCAACTTGAGGGTGTCAAACATAGCCAAACATGCATATGGGTTCGGTTTGCTTTTATGCTCTGGCGAAGGAAAGTAAGTGGCAAGCCATAGATTTGTTCTTGTGAATATCGGCTCGATTTGCGAGTTGATGAATTCTTTGGAAACCATGTTAGGAACCCTCACTGTGGTAACCTTTTTACTATTAGATACTTCTACATCTTGTGGATCCATAGCTAGGGACACTTTCCCATCCAGGCTTTCAACCAACTTCTTCACATCATAAATATCACCAAACATCCTGAAAAATATACTTACAAGAAATATATCAAGACTCCATTCATAATCTGAAATTACTTAGCTACTATCAAAGTTTTGAAAGAGAATACAAGAAAACTCCTCTTCGCTACAAAACTTTCTCATGTTTTTATTTTGTTTTTTGTATACCATGATAATTAAACATCTAATGTATACAAAATGATCACTCTTTAGCACTATGTTTGGTTCAAGGAATTTGAGAGAGAAAGGAAAAGAAAATGAGAAGGAAATCATTTTTCTTGTTTGGTTATAGAGGAAAAGAAAAGAAAGTGGAAGGAAAAGAAAATAAAAAAGCAAAATGTACTTAAAGAAAAGAAAGTGGAAGGAAAAACTAAATCTCTTCCTTTTTGGTGAGGAAAATGAGAGAAAGTCATTTTTTTCCTTTCAAATTTCTTGAACCAAACATAGTGTAGAAGACCTAAGTAAATCTTGAAAAGTGTCCATATGCACCAGAGTTTTAATCTTATGAATATATGTGGTTTTAAGAATAAAAATAGTTCATTTTTAATCTTGAAAATCATGAATCTTGAAAAGCTCTTTTTTGTTTTCATCTTAAGGCCCTATATACGCTGCAATGGAACCTGTAACAAAGGTGTCCTTACCATTTCTCCCCTGCTTCACTCCATCTTATGTTTGGAAGGACAAGAGAGGCTCCAAGGTGCTGAGCAACAACAACGGCATTTGCAATCTGCGGCGAGTAACAAGTTGATAGAGTTATTTAAAAACCTAACTTATGGTGTGTTCAGTTCGCATGATCTGATCTGATCAATTTTTTGAGGTTCTAATTTGATCTGATCTGATTGGAACTGATGTGATCTGGTCTAATCTGATATAGTCTAATCTAATTTGGTCTGATCTGATCTGATTAGATTTGATATGAATTTGATTAGAATTAAAAATTTCTATGATAATAGTTATAATAATAATAATAGAAATATTAATAATTATAGTAATAATATAAATAAGAATAATACTAATAGTAATAATAATAATAGTAATAAGCATAGCAATAATAATAATAACTATAATCATAATAATAATATTAGTAATCACGATTATAATAATAATCATAATTGTAATAATAATAATAGTAATAATAATTTCAGTAGTAATAATCTTAATATAGTAATAATTATAATAACAACAACAATAATAATTATAGTCATAATAATAATAGTAATAGTAATAATAACAATGGTAATAGTAATAATAATAATAATAATAATAATAATAATTGTAGTAATAGTAATAATAATAAAAAATAGTAATAGTTATAATAACAATAGTAATAATAAATGTAATAATAATTGTAGTAATAGTAAGAGTAATAATACTCCCTCCGTTCCTAAATAAACTTCCCCTTTCGTTTTTTTTGTCCTCAAATAAACTTCTCTTTTCCTTTAAAAAACCCCCGTTGCCCCTTACTTTTTCATACCCTACATATCACATCATACCTTTTTACTAATAATCTACATATCACATCATACCTTTTTACTAATAATCTACATATCACATCTTACTTTTACACATCACATCAAGGGTATTTTTGGAAAGTCAACACAAAAAATATCCATCTCTTAAATCCTCAAAAAGTCAAAAAAGGAAGTTTATTTAGGGACGGAGGGAGTAATACTAATCATAATGGCAATAACAACAACAACAACAACAATAATAATAATTTTGTTTAGATCTGGTCTGATTTGATTTGTTCCGATTGGATTCGATCTGATCTGATCTGGTCTGACCTAATTTGATCTGATTTTAATAAGAATAAATAATAAGCAGGAAAAATAAGTTGAACGGAACGCTTCCTTATTTTTTGTGTGCTTAATACTAATCTTATTAAAATCAGATCCGATAAGATGCAATCAGAATTATTATTATTATTAACTATTTTTATTTCATAAATCTAATAATTCTAGAATAAAAGTTATAGATTGTAATTTAATATGAATGATCATTATAATTTTTAAAACTTATTAAATTATGATAATAATTTTAAGTTTAGTTTGAAATGAATTTAGATCTAATCAGATCCAAACTTTAAAAAATCAGATTAGATCAAATTAAGCGAACGGACACAGCCTAATCGGGGTAATTTTTGGGGGCCGACAATTCATACCCACTATAAGATACTCCCTCCGTCCCACAAAAAAGTTCCCATTTTGATGTATTTTTGGTCAAACAGTTACACGCTTTGACCATAAATTAAATATAATCCAAATAAAGAAATGCTAAAAAAATTGAGATATCAAAACTAGATCCTAAGATGAATCCAATTATATTACATTTATTTTATAATTCAATATACCTTTCTTACAATTTGTAGTCAAAGCGTGTAAAAATTTGACTAAATACTATTCAAAATAAGAACTTTTTTGTGGGACGGAGGAAGTATTTTGTAAATTTTCATACACATAATATTTTGTTTAAAAAGATACGTACAGTACATTTTTACTCTCTAGTATTTTAAATTCAAGTACATAGTCCTAACATTTCAGAGGTCATGTACTAAAAAAATAATTCTTATATCAAATATTTGGTGTAACATTATTACACCAATTCAGTCGAGATATATATTGTGCTCCGATTATAAAATTGGTTGTTCTTGTTTCCACTAACCTCTCAAATCGTCCCGTCCCTAACATACTCCCGCACCCACTGGTGGATGTACTCTATACTTAGACGGCAACAACCCAGTGAACTTTGGCTTATGAAGTGTATCTCTTTTTTTTATGTTATATGGGAACTTTGGTGCAATGGTGCCCCGGTCAAATTGTCAAAAAAAATCACTGTGCGGTGCAATAACAAGAATAATCTTGCTAAAAGAGAAACAGAAATGGTGACAGAACCTGCTGAAGAAGAAGGTGGAAAGAAGATATTTTGGAGAGGGGGAGAGAATGAGAGAGGAAGAGGGAGAGAGAAAATTGATCTTTATTCATGATGTGTGATGAAAGTACAAGGCCACCTATTTATACAAGTGAATGATCAGCTAACAGACCCAACACACTTCTAACCAACTAACTACCACTAACAACCACTGCCACATCAGCTTGGCTATAACATTGCTCCCTCCTTTTGGAAAGACTTGTCCTCAAGTCATGATGTCAAGGGGAAATGAGGATATGTGGCCTGAAAGTCATCTGCGGGCTCCCAAGTAGCTTCCCAGTGGCTGAAGCCTTTCCAATGAAACAAGAACTGAACCTGGGCTTTATTTTGAACCTTCATGATACGCCTATCACGAATTGCTTCAGGTG